GAAAAAGCCATCGGAATAACACGAGGTCTTGTTTATGTTTCGCACTATGCCACCAGGATACCTTCATACAAAACATGGTTAAATAAGAACAAAAAAACAAACAAACCTGTTTCACTGAGTTGATAGGTATGGCAGCCATATGTGTGTCAGAGAAGAACTGCCATCCATACATAGAGATTCAGTGACTGTGACCTTTAGGAAGGGGAATGACTGAGTTCCAAAGTGCTTCTGGGTAGATGCAAACTGTCAGTCAGTGAGTTAGTAGGCAAATGCTTAACTGTTTGTCTATAGTAATATGTGATGGCCTTCTCTTGTTGCTAAAAGGCACTGTCCTATTTTGCAGGTAAATTTGACATATTTTTTTATGTAACTGAAAGAAACTATCAAGTTAAAGAATTTATTTTTACCTTTAGTATGATGTGCTTTGACCATAATTCAGACTAATATTTACCAAATCTCAGTTTACATCTTAGAAATGATTATATATTCTTATATATTCATTATATAAGAATGAATTCATTCATTATATAAGATTATATATATTATATATTCTTACCACAGAAAATTCTGATCACAGGAATTAGTAAAACAAAGTTATGCCAGATAGCAGAATATAGATAGATAGATAGAAAGATAGATAGATAGACAGACAGACAGATAGATCACTAAATGATAAAAAAAATAAAATTAAATCTTATTTTATCAAATCTCACATATTACACACACACAACGTTTAGGAATTTACACTAAATTGTTCCAAGTGTGTACACAATATGACTATAATAAAATAAAGAGCCCCTAAGGTTTTTACAATGGCCCAAGTTATCCTATTATGATAATATTTTTCAATAACAATAATAAGTGGAAAAATATGTAAAGTTAATGCAGATACCTTGAAATAATTTAAGAAAGTATTGTAAAGTTTACAATATAATTGAAAATTCAAGGATATGCACATATACACATAAAGCGATATCTATAACCTTTTTACCTCATAGTGCTCAAAAACTCTAGAATATAAAATTAGATTTTAAATTTAATTTGTATTGGATTTGAATACAACAAGCAAAACACATGCTACTGTCAAGTCAAATTTTACATATAATGAACCCATAGAGGGAGTAGAACCGCCTCTCTGGGTTTCTGAGACTGTTCACCTGTATGGCAGTAGAAAGCCTCGTCTTCCTTCTGAGAAACTGAATAGGTAATAATAAAATCCATGCTGCTTCAGAGAAGGCCTGAACTTATTATATATATATAAAATATATATCTCATCTCTGTCTCACCTTCCTGATGTTCTGTCTGGCTATTAATGGTTATATTGCAACCAGTTTGTTTCATTCTTGTGTTATATTTCCTAGAAAATGCCATGGTAGCTCCTGCCTTAGAATAACTCTATGTATTTTCTCCCCCTACAACCTTTATCCAACTAATCTTCACATCGATATTTCTTTCTGATTGCTTTTGTCAATTATTGACGTGCTTATCATTATTACTTGAGCCCTAGTGCATAATAGGTTGTGTGGTGGGATGGTAACTACAAAGTCAGCCCTTCAAACCCATCAGTGGCTCCATGGAAAAAGAAGATGCTGGACAGCTCCTGAAAAACTTTACAGCCTTGACAATCCAATATTGGGTCACTATGAGCTGGAATTAACTCAATTGCAATGATTTATCATGATTATGAGTCTTACTAATTAATCCATCTAATCTCTCTCATATATAAATGTCAGAATATTGAAAAATCAACTAGAAATGTAACTTGCAATAGAAACTCTTCTCACAGAAATAAGCATAGCACTCCACTTTTTAAAATTTTTTAATTTTCAATGCTTTATTTTGTTGGTTTGGTTTTTAACTCCTTCACATTTTGCAAAAATACAACAACAACAAAACAAACTTGAATTAGTAAAACTGCTTGTGCTGTATGCAGCAGAAAACCAGTTTAATGGAGCCTTAAATAATAATAAAATAAGTATTTTCTCATAAGTAAGATATCTGAGCTAGGACAGTTCCAGGACTGGTTAATTAACTCAAGGACTCATAATTAGGGACCCACCATCTATAATTATTAATAGCTTGGCTTGGTTCTTGAGTTGGCTGCTCTTGAGGTTGAAGAGAGTTGCAGCAGCTTCAGGTAGCAGCCACAAACACAGTTTTACCTAGCAGTAAACAATTTCTTCTGACAACATACTTTTTAAAAATCATTTTATTGGGGGGTCTTACAGCTCTTATCACAATCCATTCATCCATCCATTGTGTCAAGCACCTTTGTACATATGTTGCCATCATCATTTTCAAAACATTTTCTTTGTACTTGAGCCCTTGGTATCAGCTCAATTCCCCTCTCACCCATCCCTCCCGTGATAATCTATAAATTATTATTTTCATATCTTACACTGTCTACTGTCTCCCTTCACTCACTTTCCTGTTGTCTGTCTGCCTGGGAGGGGGTTATATGTTGATCATTTTGATCAGTCCCCTTTTTATCCCCCCACCTTCCGCCTAACCTCCTGGTTTTGCTACTCCCATTATTGCTCATGAGAGGTTTATCTATCCTGGATTCTGTGTGTTATCTGTACCAATGTACATGTTCTGGTCTAGCCGCATTTGTAAGGTAGAATTGGGGTCATGATAGTAGGGGGTTGGGGAAGCATTGAAGAACTAGAGGAAAGTTATATGTTTCATCAGTGCTACTCTGTGCCCTGACTGGCTCGTCTCTTTCTTATGACCCTTCTGTAAGGGGATGTCCAATTGTCTACAGATAGGCTTTGGGTCTTCACTTTGCCCTCCCCCTCATTCACATCAGTATGATTTTTTGTTTTGAGTCTTTGATGCCTGATACTTGATCCCATTGACACCTCATGATCACACAAGCTGGAGCATCCCGTCTCCTTTAACCCTGCTGTGATGATTATTTTTAGGTTTTTCCACTTATTTTAAATTTCTAATTAATTGTATCCCTAATCAGCAGACTCTAACGCTGATGACAAGCAAAGATGTTTGCCTTTTAGACTCATTCAACAGATATTTCCTAAAAATAAGTAGGCACCAGGCAAAAATATAACAAAAGCCCTTCCCTCAGAGACTCAGTCTAGAAGAGAAAAACAGAAAGGAACATCAGTCAACTGATTATTATATTTTAAAATTGGTCACACCTATTATCATAGCTCTAATGAAGAATATGCAGAGGATGAAAATAACATCAGGAGTGAGACTTTGAGTAGAGTCACTGGGGACAGCTTAGAGAAAGCAATCTTCAACAAAAACCCATAGAGTTAGAGAAAAAGCCATCGGAATAACACGAGGTCTTGTTTTCAGGCAGAAAGCCAAGTAACTCTAGGGACTGCAGTGAGAGAAGCTTAGGCAGTCTTAGGCACAAGTTTAAAAAATGGCTCAGGAGAAGAGATGAAAAACTCAATGTGTGCAGGGAGCGGTAGAAATAGAAATCAGATCAATCAGAGATTTCTAAGAAAAGGCAAACGATTATAGAGAGGAGTCTATAGCAAAAGAATCTGTAATCTCTAAATTGTACATACACTAAATCATAAATCAAACTTATCTTCAAAAGATTCTCTGAGATTGCACTAGAAGATGGGCAATTTTAGTCACACCTCTCTGACAGATGACTTCCCTTTACAAGAAACTGAAGATGTTCTCAGCATGATAACAGGTACTTGCCACCCGAAGTCTCTCGTTTAATCCAAAGTTTCTTCATGGCATTTTTCACTTCTGAATTCCTCAGGGTATAGATCAAAGGATTTAACATGGGTGTGATGATGGAATCTGACACAGCCATTGCCTTGTCTATTGGGTAAGTGGCCACAGGTCTTACATACAAGAAAACACAAGGCACAAAGAACAAGACGATCACCATGAGATGGGAGCCACAGGTAGAGAGGGCTTTGTGCCGTCCTTCAGAGCTACAAGACTTCAAAGAGCAGAGGATCACCATGTAGGAGACAATGAGTATAAGGAAGATGGCAACACACATCACCCCACTGTTAAGGATGACCAAGAGGCCCAGGACATGGGTGTCCATGCAGGCGAGTGTCAGCAATTGAAACAAATCACAGATAAAATGATCGATGACATTAGGACCACAGAAAGGTATTTGGTACATAAAGAGGAGCTGTATCATTGCATGTGAAAATCCTCCTACACAGGCTCCTCCTATCAGAAGGCAGCACACTCGAGGACTCATGATGGTCATGTAGCGCAAGGGCTTACAGATGGCCACATAGCGGTCATAGGCCATCACAATGAGAAGGATGATGGACACCCCACCAAAGAAATGTTCTGCAAAGAGCTGGGTCATGCAGCCTGCCAGGGAGATGGTGGTGCTCTCAGAGAGGGAGTCCACAATCATCTTGGGGGCAATGACAGAAGAATAGGTGACATCCATGAGGGACAAGGAAGTAAGGAAAAAGTACATAGGTGACCTCAGGCTCTGAGTTGCAGTCATAGTGACCACAATGAGTAGGTTCCCCAACACGGTGGCCACATACAATATTAGAAACACAGCCGATAATAATTTCCGCAGCTTGGCATTTTCTGTGAGACCCAAAAGAATGAATTCTGTCACATTATTTTTGTTTCCCATTGACCAGATATTGATGAGAGCTTTGGCTGGGGTTGAAAAATCTAAAAAAAAAAAAAGCAAAACAAAAAAAAGAACAACTTGTGATTTATGATTAGTGATTATTTGGCTTTATTTGGCTCATGAAATGTTTGCAGAGAAAGAGGCAGTCATAAGATTAATCAGGGAATTGTAGGGCAAGACAAGGGATTATTAAAGACAAAGAGAAACCAAGGGAAGACATAAAGCGAAAAGACATCATCATTCTAAAATTTAAATACCCTAAATCATAATAAGACTAATATTTTAAAATGATACTTCTGCATTCTAGTTGGCAATGGAAAGTTTTATTTACCACCTATCTCTGACAGAGTGATTCCCTTTATGAAAAATTCTTAATGTTCTCAGCATTATGACAGTTATTTGAAAACCAAAGTTGGCCAACTGTCTTGGAATCGATTCTGACACTCCGTGACCTTACGTGTGTTAAAGCAGAACTGTGAGCTATCGGCCTCTAACCTCCCAACTTTGGGATGGATAGAAGGCACCACCAAGCAACTTCACATTTCTCAAAGGGCCTAATACATTACTAAGAATGCAAGAGTCACCAAACAACTCAAGGCATATTTGTGGACAGAAGGAAACAACTGGGAACTGAATGCTGGTGTCAGCCTGTTCTCCAGGCTTGAGAGCAGATTAGTTGTCAAAGACCTATTACCATTTCTTCGTCTGCCAGCCTCAATGATGGCAGTGATTGGCTACAGTCCATAACATTTGTTTTCCTCCACTTGCTTCAGTCATAGCCAAGGACCAAACCATATTTTAGACTCCCAATTTAGTGCTGAACCACAATCATCAGCACTTTTATGATATTATCCCTCTCTTTTCACAATGGCTTAGTGAGAAATCAGTTTCCATTTTGAGAAGACTAATATAGAAAGGGGAGATCTTAATTAACCTTTTTCTTTTACTTCGTGAGTCCACTTCCCTCTTATTTCCTAATGATTTAGCTATACAATTGTTTTCAAAACTCAGCAGACACTTCAAATAGGAGCAAAATAAAAGACATGTCAGATGTGACCCATTTCCTTAAGGGGTGGGTCTAGTAGATTAAAAATAATAACCAAGAAACCACTGTGAGCTGAAGAAATTAAAAAAATAAATTATTTAACTTTTCAAAGTAGATAGAGACTATTCCTTACAGGGGACAAAGCATGGGCCAAGGCCCAGAGGGGAGTTTAGAGACATTATTTAATGTAAAGGGGAAAACAAAGGTGTTAGTCACATAGACTTCTAATTTGACTTATAGGGAACATTTTAGCTGTGTAATTAACTAAAGCTCATTTGAAGAGGCTTCAAAAAGTTCATGAAAATATGGAATTTTTCCATAAACTTTCTGAAGTACTCACATAGTTTTTTTCTGAATCCTGTTTGGATTCTCCACTGAAAATGTAAGTATGTAGATGCTTCTAGTGGTTTCAGTCAGATTGTCAATTTTATGCAGTCAATTGATTTCTATGAAATTTTGAATTTCTATGAAAGTTTGAGTATCAAACTATATTACCCTTTTATCCCTAAAGTCCTTCAAAGTCGCCACTTTAGGGCTTGCATCTTCCCAGTTTCTTCATCCTTTCAATAGACAAGGACAAATCCGTGGGATTAAAGTGAACTTCAGTAGAATTTTATAGAATGAACGTGAATGACAATAATATTTTAACTTTTAGGATTTTAATCCACAATAATTTACCAAATGTTTTCACAGAATGCTCCTAAATAAGCTCTATCCGTATCATCACTAAGCCACCAGTTTTTCCACAGCTGTTACCACCATGGTGATCACCACTGTCATCACAATAATGCCATCATTATTGCCTTACCACCACACCAATGTCGCCAACATTACCACCACCATTTTCAGTACTGCGAACACTGCCATCTCCATCATCAACATCACAACCATCATCCTATGAATAGATCTACTTAAAATAAAGTTTAGTAGCTATTAGTTTTCACATATAAGGATACATAAAAATCAGCCCATTCCTAAATTAAAACTGTCAATCTAAGTATTTCGGCCTTACCATTCACATTTTAAGAAAAATCAACACAGTAAAACTTCTTCTTTTCCCTTAATCTGAAATTTAGGAACAACAATCTCTGGAGGAAGGAAAGAAAGACATGATCTGGAGGCCTAAGAAGAGTGAGAGAGAGAATGGGGCATACATGCACACTGACGTGGGGTAACTGGAGCTAGAAGCCGGAGCAGAGAGACGGGGTTATGGAAGCAAGAGAGAGAAGATTAAAATGAAAAGAAAGAAAGATTAGTGTATTCTCAGTCCCAGGAACACATTACCTCTGCTGGAACTCCAAACATATTATTTTATTTCCTAATTTTTATTTGTAAGATAGAAACCTTATCCTTAAAAAGACATTTTCAAAGGTTCCAAAAGTATATCAAGTAAAATAACTTAAGCTAACATAAATTAAGCTTGAACTGAGGTTAATAAATCATATTTCCTATGCAGAGAATATACATAGCTACAGCTAAAGCACACAGGTTTGGGGTTTAAATTATAGATATTCTTTATGAGAAAGACTATGTACATATTAACATGTAATTAATTACTTTAATGAATAGTTATCACAATTTAAACTAATACTTACATCATAATTCTATGCAATCATTCAAACCTGCAAGTTAATATGAAGCCAAATAAAAAGATGATTCTTAAAGGTTAGTTCTTAGAGTTGATCAAAAGTAGAAAGATGTACAAATAAAATGTCTTAGGTAATTTCAAGTGTAACATAAGGTTTTATCTCAGCTAAAAGTCACTCACATGAAGCACCTTCTCCAGAGAGTCCAAGAACAAATGATTCCAACTTAGTTTATCAGTAGCGGAAGTAAGCTGTCCAGGACATAAATGAGGGGGGTGAAAATCACCAAATCATTAAGTATTCATCAAATGTGTCAAACTAAGATTACTACTGTTTTTAGGAGAGATTTTAAGTAGAAGCCTTACAATAGCTATGAGCCTACTGAAGACAGATGCATTCTGTGCTACCAAAAGATTTATTTACGTTCTCTCCAATGAGGGATTGCAGAATAGGTTGCCAAGGAGAGTGTTTAGTGAAATCATCCTGGCCACTCTTTGAATCTCAGCTGAACCTTCTCAGTAGATACAGCAGGGATTCAATGTTCCCCTCACGTCTATATGAGACGGAAGGGCCCGTGTGAACAGCTATGACATGGCAGGGCCTTGAATCACTCAGTTGTAACCCTCTGAGGCTAGAACTCCACTGACAGCGGCTAATCCCTAACTCAGTGAATTCCCATCTTCCCACGTTAATCATCAGGTGTTCTCATGGGCATAATATCAATGAGGTCAGGCCAATATTCACAGCCTAGATATAAACCATTTAATCATTTGTTCATAGACGGTGGTCTGTACTACAACTACAAGAAGGACCACTTTACCTAGTCACAAAATAGTTAACAGTAGGGAATCTGAGTCATACCTCATCTCTGGATTCAATCTCTCATGCTGGCGTCATATCTACCCCTGGGAGGCCACCATTTTTATCCAAAAATGTACACCCAATCAGAACATATTTACTGAAATTGTTTCTAATTTATTAAAAAATGATATGAACCATTTTAGAAATTATGAGTCATCATTTCCATTCCTTCTCCACCCTATAAGTGGTTTAATTTACATTAAATTAAAAAACAATCTTTAGACCCAGGAAGGTTATCATGAGCTCTGGTGGCACAGTGGTTAGACATTGGGCCACTAACTGCAATCTTAACAGTTTGAAACCATCAGCCCTCTTTGTGAGAAAGACAAAACGTTCTACTCTCTTTAAGAATCAGAGTCTCAGAAACCCACAGGGACAGTTGTGCCCTTTCCTACAGCATCACTATGAGTGAGAATCAATCAATGGCAGTGATTCTAAAGTTATCAGAGCGGAGATGATTATCTCTCAGAGCTGGGATGATTATCTCAACTGTCAGATTCTAATACTTAACTATCACCCACAGGCTTATTTACACTCTAGAAAAATTTTTACTAACTGTTTGATATTAAACTATCTGACACGGGGTCTAACGTTACCTATGCCAAGTAGTCACTTCCACTACTTGTTTGTCAGATGGTACTACTGTGCTGGCTTCCATGAGGCTCTGATGCTGGGCGTTATGCCACGGAAAGTTCAGACGCAATTAGGGTGATCCTGGTAGACAATTCCAGCAGAGCTTCTAGACTAAGATACCTGGGAGGAAGACCCTAGCTCTCTATTTCTGACAAACTGACTGGTGAAAACGTGATGGATAGCAAAAGAACATTGTCTGGTGACCCCCTGTACCAGATGAACTCCTCAGGTTAAAAGGTACTCCAAATGCGACTAAAGAAGAGTTGCCTTCTCAAAGTAGAGTCAACTTAATGATATATGTGAAATAAATCTTTTCAGGATGCTAATTTACTAATGTGGCACAATTGAAAATGAGAAGAAAATGCTGGAAATGTTCATTAATAATCAGAATGTGAAATGTATGAATAAAAGACAGGTAAGTTGTGAAAAACAAAGCACAACACTTGAATATCAATATCCTAGGCATAATGAACTGAAACGGTCTGGTATTAGCCGTTTGGAAACTGATCATTTTATGGTTTACTATGATGGAAATAAGAAATTGAAGAGGCGTAGCCTCAGATTCATCATGAAAAAAAATTTTCAAGATCTTTTCTCTGAAACAAACACAGCCAGTATAGTATACTACACATAAGCCTACAAGGAAGATAAGTTACGTAGAACTGTTATAAAGTTTACATACCAGTCACTAATGCCAAAAATGAAGAAATTGAAGATTTTACCAACTTCCTTATTCTGAAATTGGTCAAACATGCAATTAAAATGCATTGCTAATTCTGGGGATTAGAATGTTAAAATTGAAAGCAGAGAAGGCTCAATAGTTGGAAAATATGGCTTAAATAACAAATAACTTCAGAGATCATATGATAGAATTTTGAAAGGCT